TTCTGTCCACAGTGAGACAGTGAAGGCTCAGGGCTTCTGGCTGCAGTCTGTTCTGTCCACAGTGAGACAGTGAAGGCTCAAGGCTCCGTCCGCAGTCTGTTCTTGTAACCAGTGAGCCAGTGAAAGGCTCAGGGCTTCAGTGAGCAGTCTTTTCTTGTATCCGGGTGTATGTATAGATTGATACAGCAACAGCAGCAAACGCAACAATTGTGAGGGCGCCAGAGGGGCCAGTATTTCGTTCTGTTGTGCACAGGGCCGCTCTGAGTCACAAATGACTCTTTGGCACCTAAAACCATACGTATGGGCTACTTGCTAAGGGCAGTGGAACCGCAAAGATGCTGAGACATAAACCCTTGCCAACCTCACCATGAAAGAGGCGAGAATACACAGAGATCTGCAGAAGGAAGAACACATTTAGCATCAGCTCCCTTTTTTCACAAAGGGTAAACTGAGGGAAGCACCAAAGCACAGCCAGAGGCTCGGTTCCCCCAGAGATCCCCCCAAGAGCCCAAGGTTAGGCATCAGGGATTTATAACTCCTGGGTGAACTCTATAGGAGCCCAAAGACTCCCAGAGAAAGAAAGGCCGTCATGCAATGCCCTGTGCTGACAACACCCAGGTTATCTGGCTCTCAACCTGTAGACACAGACAGAGTATCCAAACAGAATCCCCCATCTCCCTCCGTTGCCTGCCCTGCACCAAACCTACACTCCTTTCAGCAATGGCTGAGGGCCCAGAATATAATAAGTATTTCCCTTGATTCTGATGAGCTAGTTCCAAGGACCTGTCAGGGAGCCATGAGTCCCAGCTCATCTTCTCTGTCTTAACGATGGTCTCCGTCCCTAACTGCTGTGTTCACATCCACTCTGCTCACAGCAGCAGAAGGGCCTTTGTAAATGACTGACAACACCCCTCTGAAAGCCATCAGAAAACTCCTCACTGTCCTCAGGATAACAAGAGTCCTAAAGTTCACCAACCAGCCTGGTTCTGCTAGGTGATAAGACTTGTTTGCTTACCTGTTTGTTATTAAGTGCCATTGAGTCAGTTCCAACTCGTAATGACCCTGTAACTCTTTACGGGAGCAGAAAGCCTCATCTTTGTAGTTTCGACCTGCTGACCTTAAGGTTCATAGCCCCATTTGTAAACACTACGCTACTTGTTTATTCCCCTCTCTATTAAGCCTTTGGAGTCCTGGTGTTGCGCTGCAGGTTCACGTGCTAGACTGCAAGGTCAGCTGCTTCTCAGAAACCATATGCTGACTGGGCCGCCCTTAACAACATTTAGCCTTGTTCGGGTTAGAGGAGGGGCCGGGCAGTGTTGGTGAAGTGACTGTACCAGGCAGGGCTGCATGTAGTAGGTTGGAGGTACACTGTCTAGCTATGTGTTCAGCAGGCCTGGGGCCAGTCTGGACCCTATGGGCAGAGCTGGAACTTGCTGAGCCCGCAGAGGCAGTAGAGGGAAAGGGATGGAGCCCTTTCAGACTTGTCCATCTTTGCTCAGGTGAACGTGTCCTTCTTGCTATCCTTGGAGCTGCTCTCCTATCAGAAGCTCCCAGATGACCAGTTGCTGCCTGGAATGAAGATTCAGCAGAGTGCAAGGGGAGAGAGGGAGATGGTGTTCACTCAGAACCTGCTCCTGGAGTATACCAACCAGACCACTCAGGCGAGTCCCAGGTCAGCCCCACAGGGTGCACAGGTAGGACCAAACTGGGACCTTGCTCTGGTGGAGTCAGGACAATCCACACGGGGCCTTCAGCAATATAAAGAGCAGTCTTCAGTACTCAGTGTGCCCTGGAAGAGGTACTTGCCCATGGAGAGGAGGGCCATCCCATCCTCAGGTCTCACAGAAGCAGGTAAAGCCAAGCTGAGGAACTTGCCGAGTGTGTCAGAACTGGGAGCAGCAGCGGCCAGCTGTGAGGGGACGACTCATGGGCTGATGGAGTATTTCAAACAAGCTGAGCAATACAGGCCTGGTCCAGGTCACAGTGCTGTGCTGGAGTGGGGGGGAGGGATCAGAGGAAGTCCATGGGAAATGCAGGTGAGGAATGTGAAGGAATGACCATGGCCTTGGGGGTGAATTTGAGATATGAGAAGGAAGAGCTCAAGTCTGGAGCTGAGACGAAGGGGGACAGCAGTGTCTAAGGGCACTGGAGGGAAACTGCCAGGTCTAGAGTCAGTTAGGACACAGATAGGGCCTGAAACCCAGGAGAAACATCAGCTACTCCAGAAGCAGAAGGAAACATAGGACTGAGGGTCCCCTGGGAGGGGGGATAAGGGGTGAAATCCGGCTGCCTCTCCAGGAGCAGAAACGGAAGTGCTTGCCTGGGGTGAGGGAGACTGCGTCTCTCGGTGCAGAATTCCACCAGCACCTCGGGCTTTGGATACCTGCCCATGGTGGGGCCACCTGGTGGTGCTCTCCTCAGCAGCTTCAGGGGTGGGTAGCAATCCTTGGTGCCAGGCTGCCTGGTCCAGCCGAGGTAAAACACCTGCTCCCACAGGAGGTGCCTCTGCGGGCAGTTGTGGCCGTGCCTGAGCTACAGCTCTCCACCAGCTGGTTGGACTTTGGGACCTGCTTTGTGAGCCAGACGCAGACCCGAGAGGTCTACTTGATGAACCTGAGCCGCTGCCGGAGCTACTGGGCTGTGCTGATGAGTAAGTGCCGTCGAGTGAGTTCGACCCATAGCAACACTGTATAGAGTTTCTGAGAAGCAATTGGTGAACCTGAACCACTGACTTTTAAGTTCAAACCGACTTCACAGTCCAGAGCATTAGCCCTCAGTGCCACAAGGACGTTAGGAAAGCCTGCTGAGATGACCTATTCTCCCGGTGGGACTGGGAGACAGAGCTTGTCTGGTGATGTCTTCCCCTCCCTTCCCTGCAGGCCAGCAGGATACCACTAAGGGCACTGTGGCCTTCAGGGTCTCCCCAAGAAGCGGGCTCCTGGAGGCACGACCAGTCAACGCGCCCCCACCTTCCATCACCCTCCAGGTTACCTTCACTGCCAGGTACAGCTCTCTGCCTCCTTGGCCCTGTGCACAGACAGGCCCGGAGCCTCCTAACCTCACACCCACCCCCCTCCCTACAGGAGCAGTGAGCTGTATGAGTCCACGCTGGTGGTGGAAGGTGTGCTTGGTGAGAAGGCCTGCACCTTGCAGCTCCGGGGTCAAGGCTCTTATGACGAGAAGTACATGACCCCCCAACTGTGGAAATAAACATGCTCCAGCCTAAGAAGCAGGTGTCTCTACAGGCTGAGCTGTTCTTGGGAGGAAGAGGCAACGGTGAGATCGTTACTCAGATTGAGCAGAAATGACTAACCTTGGAAAAGACCACAACCATCCAGAGAAGCTAACACACATTTACTATACCTTTTGTGCGACGTAGCCACGAGGCCACTTTCCCCAGGGATGACCCAGTGGTCTGGCTCAGAGGGGGGAAAGCGGGGTGTCATCAGTGTTCTATTTCCCAGATTAGTTGAAGTGCCTTAACTTGCTCACAGCCCCACCGCCCTTCACTTGTAGTGTTGGTCTTTTGTTGGTCTCTTGCTGCCAGAGCAGGACTATCTGGTTAGCAGCTGCCGGAGGCCTCAGTTCCCAGGGTACTCAAAGACGGCAGCAGCTCCCATTCCGGTGCCGATGCACATGGATACCACCCCATATGCCCTGTGAAAACAAAACCATATTGGCTGTGAGAACACAGAGGGCAAAACCTCAACCACCAAGCCATCCCCCCTGAGTTTACAGCCGCTCCAGAGAAAGCCAGACAGCAGAGTTGGGTGGACCTTGCCTTCAGGGGGACAGCACGGCATCTATGTGCATGGGGCATTATCCCTTCAAAGGGAGCCCCAGGGACCCAGTCTCTCCAGCCTCAGGTTAGTCATAACCAAGCCCTTCCTCCTTCCCTAGCTGCCCCAGCTTAGAGAACAGCAAGACCTCCATGAGGAGCCTCCTTCCCTAGCTGCCCCAGCTTAGAGAACAGCAAGACCTCCATGAGGAGCCAGCCTTACCTCTTCCCACGACGCTTCAGCTCGTTGAGCAGTGTGATGACCTGTCGTGCCCCAGTGCAGCCCAGTGGGTGTCCCAAAGCCACTGCACCCCCCAGCGGATTCACCTTTTCTGGGGGGAGTCTTAGCTTCTCCACACAGTAGACGGCCTGGGAGGAAGCAGAGCTTTAGCTGTGGTCCTCCTACTTCTGGCGCCATTGACCCTGGCTGCCCAGGGCCCAAGCAGTGAGAGAAACAAAGGCTCACCTGGCTTGCAAAGGCCTCATTGATCTCAAAGATGTCCACATCATGCACTGTCAGCCCTGCAAGTAAAGGGAGACAGCCTTAGCTGACCCCATGACCCTTAGCTGGCCTCTTTCACCAGACAGCCTTCAGGCAATGGGTAAGCAGTGCCCGGTGTGGGGTGCTGCTGGCCTGTCCCCCCTTTACAGTACCCCACAAGGCCTGAGAGACATTCAGGAGCCATCGTACCTGCTTTCTTCAAAGCTTCAGGGATGGCATAGGCAGGCCCAATGCCCATGATGTCCGGTGGGACCCCAACCACTGCATAGGACCTCAGGATCCCAAGGATAGGAAGGCCCAACTCCTCTGCCTTGGACCTTCTGGCCAGCAGGATGGCAGCTGCCCCATCGCTCACCTGGCTAGAATTTCCTAGGGACAAAAACCATAAGGGTGAGGAGGTCTCAGGACAGGCTGAGAAGGTCTGGCCCTCTCCTGCCCACCTTGCCATGGGGCCTGGTCTCCTCCACACTCCTGGAAGACCCCCCAGCATAGTCGTGGTCCCTTCATCATCCCCACCCAGCCCAGTCTCACCAGCTGTGGTAGAGCCACCCTTCTTGAAGGCAGGCTTCAGTTTGGCCAGGCCCTCCATGGTGGTGTTGGCACGGATGCCCTCATCTTGGGCCACGGTGATGCTCTTCTCGGTGCCCTTGTCATCGTGGACTATCGTTGTCACGGGTACAATCTCAGCCTGAAAGCAGCCCTTGCTCTGGGCTCTGGCTGCCCTGCCAGTACCCCAGTCAGTCAGTCTCAAGCTCCCAAGGGTGCTACCACTAGGTCTTCTATGCTTTCTTCCACATCAGCCCCTGCTCTCCAGAGTTTGAGCAGTCCCAACCACCAATGAGAAGAAGGGGTTTGGAAGCGATAGCTCCTCTGAGCTCTTTACTCGAGACACAAGGGGACCAAGCTTGCTTATGTCCCTATGCTAAAACTGAGACCAGACCCTCAAGAACACTAACAGTAATACAACCTTGCCAAGTTCAGCCTAAGACCACCTGGAGTTTCTCTGGCATTACCCCCAGCCTCAGGATGCTACCGAAGACCCAGGCATGGTTCCCAGGCTACAATGCAAGGAGCCCACATCCCAAACTCCAGCCAGGCAGAGAAGAGAATCCTGACCTTTCCTGCTAATTAAGGAAATCTGAGCCCCAGGTAGTGAGAAGATGCAGAGGACTTGAAGTGTAACCAACTTAAGAGTGATCCCAGCCCATTCCCACCGCCTTAAGCCTCACCACTCGCCTGCGCTTTTAAAGGCTCCGGCCACATAGTACTCACTTCCGTTGGGAAGCCAGTGCAAAGGTGTCCTGCTTCTCCCGGGAAACACCAAACCGCTCGGCCACATTCTCTGATGTAATCCTAAAACATAAACAGCAAATAAATAGTGCTGATCCTGGCCTGCTGACTTGGGAAAGTAGCAGGGACTGGACCTGGCCTGCAGACAGGGGATGGGAGGAGGGCCAGTCATGCCACCGGGACACCTGGATGAACACAGTAAAGAGGGGCTCCGAGGGTAAGAGGAGGGACACTCACTGACTACTCTCAGCTTCTCCTATGCCTCAAGGAAAACTAATGTGGGGAGATGGCATCCCCCAAGTCCCCACCAGAAAGGCTACACTACACCTAGGCTTCCTACTCCCCTTGCCTGCCTCGAACCCTATCCTCCTGGGAACCCAGAGTGTTGGGTCTTCCAGCCTGGGCTCCGGGCTCCACAGGCATCCCTCAAAACTATGGGCTACGGCTGTGGTGCCCCCTTTCTGACCCTCAAATCCCATCGTGCCTCTGGAATGGCCCAGAAATGTCTTAACAATGGATACAGTGCTAAGGAGCTGTACAAATGCAACCCATTTTTGACATCATCTGTATGGGGCCCAAGTTCCTTCTCAACGTTCTAGGCCTCCCACAGCTGTGGGGTACCGTGTCATTATTCCACCTGTTAGAGACCCCTGAGTGTAGAGGTGACAGGCTGGGCCATGTTTGGAAATCTAGAAGCACAAATAGGACCTGGTGCCTCAGGAGAGGGAAGCAAGGGCAACAGCCAGTTCTCATACCAAAGTCCCTGCAGAGCAGACCAGACTAACTGTCAGCCAGAGACGATCAGAGTCCCTCAGCCTCAGCTCCAGATGGGAGCTGAGAGAGCTCAGACACACGGAAGGAAGGGGTGGTGGTAGTGCCGTGTGAGTGAGTGAAGGGAGGACACTTACCCCATAGGAATCAGGCAGTCTCTGGCCTTCTCCTTTTCTACCAAGCGCGAAGTAATATTTCCAGGGTTCCCTCTGTCAGCCAAGGACATGGACTCCACACTAAGGAAGGGAGGAAGGGAGGGCTGGCATGGTTTCCCCTAGAGAGTTATGCATCTGCCAAGTGCTGGGAAATCACCAAGATGCCCTCAGACAATCTGCTGGGTCAGCAAGGAGTCACCAGCAGTGTACTTGGTCAGCAAGGCAGAGGCGGCGTGTCGGGCTACTGTCTTCTCACCCTCCGACCCCCTAGGACAGAGTACTGCACAGACCATACTCCAAAAAGCTCAGGCCTTATCCTCAAGGACCACAAGTTCAGAGTCAGGGAGACGCCAATATTTTTTAAGTAACCACCAAACTACAGAGCCTAAGCGCGGCCTGACCTGCAGAGACAAGAAGGTGCAAGGGGCTGCGAGGGAAGCAGGGTCTTCAGATTAGTGGGGTCAAAAGAGCTAAAAGGCAGTCAAGGCCACAAAGCCTCAAAGGACAGCAGAAATTATGACTGAAGGTGGGTGTTCCCTAGTCAGCACGATTGGAACTTCTCACATAACACATACCTGTAAGTCTTCGCTTTTGGTACTTAATCTTCTCATCAGCCTCCACAGGGCTGAGGTAGGTGTCCCTGCTTTATGTACAGGGATGCTGAGGCCCAGAGACGTTGAGAAGCTAAGCCATAGTCACCCAGCCAGTACTCAAATTTAGGAATTCTGGCCCCAGAACCCATCCCAACTAGGTAGCCCCAAGTTACTGTGACTGCACCATAGTCAAAGCCTATGACGGGGTGTCATCCCTGGCCCAGACCCTGAGCACCCTAGTGACACGATCCTCACTTGACTGGGGGCTCAGATTCCTTTAAACTCTCGAAGGCTCCAGTCCTTCTAAAGTTACCCCTCAATCTTTCTCTCTCTCATGATACTACAGGGAGCTGCCCCTGGCTTTAAGAAAGCAAACTCCAATTTCTCTCTCAAGCAGCATCACAAATCAACAAAGGTCACAAAGAAGGAAATCCAAATGCTGTATTTTCTCAATTGTTTGCCCACATTTTCCAATCTGACTCCCAAGAAAGCTCTTAAAAGACCAATTTTCCTTCCTTGCTGAGAACTATGAACAATTCTTGAGCAACCAAAGCCAACCACCATTCAAACTGCATTTAAAGAAACTCAGGCCCAGTCACCTGCCTAATGGGGTGAGGGAAAAATTCTAGCATCATAGCCTCTGAGAAGAAACACCAATAAACCCACTGCTGTGGGTCAGAATCAACTCAATGGCACTTAACAACATACAGTCGATTCGATTCTAACTTACAAAAACCCTGCAAGACAAGGGTAAAACTGCGCCTTAGGGCTGCCCCAGGTGAAGATCTTTACGGAAGCACACTACCACCTCAGTCTCCCTTGGAGTGGCTGGTGAGTTTGAACTGCCGACCTTTTAGTTACCAATCAAGCACTTAAACCATTGTGTCACCAGGGTTACAGAGAGAACTAGGAAGGTGCTAAAAATTAGTTTTGCTATCACAAGTTGGTTAATAAGCTCTGGCAGAAAGAAGTTCTTACCCACAGGCCATGCCAATGTCATAAGACCCATTTCTGATGCCACCTGTAACAAAAGCATTTCATAAACATCCTGCACCAGAGTCTACCCGTTTGAGAACAGTGGAGCCTCTTCCCCACCTGGTCTCTAGGCGGGGCTCAGTCTCAGAGGTGGAAGACCCAGAAGTGTCCAGAAAAGGCTGGGCGCAGCAACAAAGGGTGTTCCTTCTGCAGTGAGACCCCTCTCAGAAATCCTACAGCTCACCAGCACAGAGCAACTTGACTGTCCTGGCCCCAGCAGTTGGCACCCTCCCAGCCTCAACTTACCGGCTATGCTGGCCACTGCCTGCAGTCCAGAAGAACACTGTCTATTGACAGTAGACAAAGGTACAGTCTCTGGGATGTCACTGAAAACAGAAGGGGGTAGAGTCAGCTCCCTCTTTCCCCTGACAGCTTATCATACTCCTGGCCAATACAATTGCCCCCCCACCCCATCAGGAGCCGCGAAGACCAGGAGCACACACTCAGCAGCCCTGCCGCACTTCAGACTGCTCAGCTACTGGGCAGACCCCATCTCTGCATGCACTTGCACCCCAGGGCCCAGAAGCACCGCATCCTGGGATTCTGCCCAACAGCAAGACAAGCTATTGGGCCGTGGTGGTGATGACTGCATGCCACCAAGTCGGTACCGACTCATAGCGACCCTGGATAGGGTTTCCAAGGCTGGAAAACTTTCTCCCTTGGAGTGGCTAGTAAATTGGAATTGCTGATCCTGCGGTTAGCAGCCCAGCTCTCTACTCCGCCACCAGGGGTCCTTGTTTGGGCCCTGATGTTAAGTGCCATCGAATCCATTCTGACTCATAGTGATGACATAGATAGGGCTGACCTTGTTAGCAGCTCAGTGCTTATCCTGCAGCACCACACCAGAACTAGGGGTCCTTTTTTCTCTCCTTTTTGAGATTCAAAATTTAAAACTATACACTTCTGTTTTCCTACAAGTACAGAGAAGATGTCTTATTGCTGAGACAAGGGTAAAAGAAATGGCTGAAGCTAGTAGGCCAAAAACCATCCCCACTCCTGAGCTTTACTAGTAACCAAATGGCTAAAGGATTATGTACCAGTTCTCTCTGGAAAGCCTGTTCCCACCTGGATGGGCGCCGAGTGTTCTAACTCCCTGGTGGGTTCCCTCAGTCTCACACTGGTCCCAGCCCTGGGAGCTGTCTGCTGCAGCCCCTCCCCAATAGCCTGCCTTGATCAATAGCGCTCAGGGGAAATCCAGATGCTCAGGACCCTGCCTAAACCCTCAGGCTCAAGGAGTGAAAGCACCCAGATGGTTCGGTTAGGCACCCAGCGTTGGGCTCCCTCAATCTGGCTCTACAGAATCCCCCTCAGGTGGGCACTCTCTTGGGTCTGTGAAGCCTGTTCAACCTCTCCATGTACCCTAACTCCCTACTTATCACCTTTCACCCAATTCAAGTTTTCACTAAATCTCTCCTGTCTCAGGAATGCTAAGATACTTGTAGACTGCATCAACACAAAGAAAATAAATCAACTAGCTAAGCACATGGCTAGCTACTCAAGGGGGCTCAGAGAAGTCAGGCCTACACAATGAGAGAGACAGTGGTTAGGCAGGGTGTGCTAAGGGCAGAGAGGTAGTGGGGATACTCTGAGGGAGCAGAATGGTCAAAGTGGGGAGGGCAACAGGCATACAGGCTAGCTGAAAAAGATAACTCTCAGTTGAGAGCTGAGGCGAGAACGTTAGTGTGACACCAGAAACTGGGAGGCCTTGAACTCCAGGCTAAGCAGTTTTAATCTCTCAAGCCTCTGGAGGACTTTTTGGTTCATTTTTCCTGTTCCTTCACTAGCCAACATTCCTATTATTTCTTACTTACAAAGCTGGAAGTAGAGGGCTAAGTAGTTCATACATCTACACATGAAAATAACTTACTCCTCCACCCAGGCTATTACTACTAAAGGGTAAGGTCACCAGGACTCTTCCTGGACAATCCCTCCCCAGGTTCTGCCCTGTCCCCAAATTCATGCCAAAGCGATGTGCCCAGTGATCCCAGATTGCACAATTAGCAAAAAAGTTCAGTCATATTTCAGCAAACCTATTGGGTTACTTAACAAACAAAAGAGAACAGAGTCCACAGAGAAATAGCTAAACAACCTGACTGACTACAAATCAAGACACAGCTATTTCTAATGGCCCTGTGTGTCCTGGCTCAGCCCTTCCAAGTAGGGAAAAGGTTGTGTCCATGACCAAAGAGTGTGGAGATGTCTCACGGTTTGGTGTCCAACCAGATCCTTTCCCACCCACAAGCTGAGCTTCCTGGAGTCTGGGCCCACTCAAGAGTCAAACTGGGCAGCCCAGATTTAAAACAGAAAAGTTTACCTCAGAAACTGAGCAATTCGAGCCATGACTGCCCCGGCCCCTGGCTGAAGCACATTTCCTGTGAACAACAAACCTTTATTCAGTGCCAGGTAGTGTTCTGAGCACTAAGGTACTGCTGTAAATACCATGGTGGTGGTAGTTATATGCTGTGGAGTCAGTTCTGACTCACAGTGACCCTGCATAGGGTTTCCAAGACTGTAAATCTTTACGGGAGCACAAAGCCTCATCTTTCTCCTGCAGAATGGCATGTAATTTCTACCTGATGACCTTGAGGTTAGCAGCCTAACTCAGAACCACTAGGCTACCACAGTTCCTTGTAAATACCACAGAGGGGGCATTTCAGAACTTTCTTCAGGAGTAAGAGCCCTCAATAGGCTTACTTTAGGCTCTGGAATTTCAGGGTCTGGAGCAGGAGAACAAACTAGACAGCAGCTTGTCCCGGCCCTGAGGGTCCCCAGACCCCTCACCCACTCTCACTGCTTCTCAAATCAGTGCAGACTGGGCAAGTTGCCTACCTCCAAAGGTGACAATACAAGACTTAAGAAGAATGCAGTGCATGAAATGTAACAGAACAGGTCTTGTTAGGGAGAATGACATGATTCCCAACTTAGGGCTGGCACGTGTTTGATAAGGCTCCAGCCCTAACTCATGGTGCAATAGTGTAAGGCCTGAGGTGGGAAAGAGGGCTGGACTAAAGGTCTAAAGTCTCTGGGTCAGGGCCTAGCTCTGCTGCCAATTTCCTGAGCCTCAGTTTTGGGGTTAGACCAGGTTTTTGAGGCTCCCACGGGCAGTATGTAAGGATGTGTACATAACTGGTCTCATGCCTCTTAGAGTGTCCTCACAACTCTGCCAAGTGAATGCCACTTAAGATCCCGCCTTTACAGCATATTTAACAAACCTCAGTGCCTGGAGTGGTGGGGGAGTCTGGCTCTAAAGAGGCAATTAAGCTAAACTCCCTACAGTCCATCGACAATCCCCCTCATTGAAAACACTTGTGAGAAGGCAGGGCAAGCCTAGTCAAGGGTCAGAGTGGCAGGCTTACCCACGCAGATGTCCCCTAGCTCTGCTGGGCTTAGTTTGACGTCCTGGAGAACAGCGGTCATGACAGCTGAGAGCAGTTCATCCGGGGTGGTGTCCTGCAGGGAGAAAGCAGGGAAGCAGAGCAGTAATGCTCAGATGCGAAGCCACCTCTAGCGCAGCAGGTAACCGATCAATAGAACTGGGCACCACCCCGCCCCGGCCTCATCACACCCGGCACGAAAAGAGAGGGGCCGCACCTTGAAGCCGCCGCGGCCCCCTCGGCCGATGGCGGTGCGCCGCCCATGTACTACCACCACGTCCGCAGGCGAGGACCGCGAGGCGCCGCTTAAGCACGGTGCTGCCTGCAGCTCAGGTACCGAGTCCGAGTCAGGCCGACCTTTCAGGTGGCCCAGGACCACCTGCAGCCTCCGCATCGCTCCGCTCTGTCCAGTAGACAACGCACGCAACGTCGGAACCAACAGACTATGACTCGCGCAGGCGCAGAAATGCGCCTCAGCCCTACCCGCTTAAATACAGCCCACAGCCCCACGCCGCAGGCGCGACCTGTCCTCCCAGAATCCCGCCGTAGCCAACCAGAAGGCGACTCCACCTCCAACCCAGCCATCTGAAGCCGCGCCCACAGTCACAGCCTAAGTCTTTCCACTTAAAGCTCTCCCCGGAACAGTAACCTACCGCTGCCAATCAGGAGGCAGACTCTCCTGAAGCCCCGCCCACACACACGGGTCGGAAATCTTTCTACTTGAAGCCCCACCTACTGACGAACCGGTGGCAGTACCCCGGTGTATTAAAACAAGCCCCGCCCACTACGGGAAAAGCTTTCCCCGCAAGTTCCGCCCATTGCCTACCACTGCCAGTCACGGGACAGCCAAGAGGCCTCCCACGGCTTCTCGCTGGCGGTGGAAAGAGAAGCTGAGTCTAATTCTTCTACCCTTTTCCGTTTCCAGTCTGCTGTACCCGGGGTCCCAGCACCCTTGTTGGAGGACCGAACCAATTATAGAGGCTAGTTCAAGAACCGTGCTCCAAAGTGGTCGAGCTTGCGTGGGAAGTGCTTTGAAAAAACTTAGGTGTAACGCTTACACGGAATGATTAGTGCCAGCTTTCCCAGCCAGGTTAATCTTCACCAGGGCAGAGTGGGACCCTGTATCCCGAAGTGTCTGACTTTAAGGTGATGATCAATAAATATCTGCTAAGTGAATGAAAGAACCAGGGGTTCCCAGATCAGGAGTGTGCCTCCCCTAACGCGAAAGGACAAAACAAAACACCTCCTGACGCCCAATGGCACGGTCTTATGGCTAAGACCTGGGGAAGCAGTACAGAGTTCACATCAAAGTCAGGCTCTCAGTGACTCCCAAATTCACAAAGTAGGGTCATGACCCTCCCTCTTTCGAGGAGAACCTGAGAATGCCCTGTCTCAGACAGCACAGGGGTCTCACCTCCACTTCTGATTGCAGAATTGTTCCTCCCCACACTGTCACAGTCAGGAATGCAAACTGCCCAGAGACTTGGGAGGGCAAAGCCGGTGCCCCGCCCCAGCCATTCAGTATTAACCTGTCGGAGTATAGCCACATCAGATCCCAAAAGCAAGGCCACGTTCCTTACAACGCCCTAAGAAAGGTCGTTCTCCCTAGCCCCTCGAGGGCAGCGCCGTCGTAATTCCCAGATCCTTCCCAGATCCCCAGGGGAAGGCTCGCAGTTCCCACATCTACACCCCACACACGTTAGACTTCAACAACATGAGGTGATCCACAGAACTGAGTGGGGCTCCTGCTGACTGCTACAGGCGGCGCTTCTCGGAAAGCAAAACCGGGGGGGCGGGGCGGAGCGAAGCAGCCAGGAAGGAGGAAGCTCCGGACAGCGGGGCGACCCAGTAACGCTGAGGCTCAAGAGCGGCCGCTATGGCTGCTGGAGGGTCTGTCAAGGGGTCCTCCCCTCCCCCGCCCGCCGCTTCTTCGGTGCCCCTGGCTGCGCTCAATATGCGAGTGCGGCGCCGCCTGTCGCTGTTCCTGAACGTACAGTCACTAGTGGCGGCCGACTGGACCTCACTGGCGGAAGAGCTGGGCTTCGAGTACCTGGAGATACGGCAGCTGGAGACATACCCCAACCCCACCGGCCGCCTGTTGGACGACTGGCAGGGCCGCCCCGACGCCTCCGTGAGCCGTCTGCTCGAGCTGCTTGCCAAGCTTGGCCGCCAAGACGTCCTGGAAGACCTAGGGCCCAGCATCGGTGAGGACGACCCGTCTTGGCTCTGCGCCCTGGGGTGAAGGAGTTGCCCTTGATCGGCCTCAGCATCCAACCACATCTGGAGAGGCCCTCGTTTCCTGGCTGGGGGGCCTGTGAAGAGGAACTGTGTGGGGCTAGTTCCCTTTCTCAGTATCCGGGACCGTGGTGGCGACTACAGAAAGGAAGGCCAGGAGAGTCGGAGACAGGAAAGAAATAGCTTAGGCAAGGGTCTTTAAAGTCAGGAGTCAGAATCGAATCAGTAGTCTAGGAAGGGCCAAATAGAGCGAGTGAGGGTGGCTGATTTGTCTCGGAAAGCTGGGGTCCAAGGAAAATGCAGCCACTACCTCCTGTCACTCACTGTTTTAGATGATGATACCTGGCCCCCAGACAGGTACAGGCAGGCCTCACCTACCTGAATTCACTCAGTCTTCTGGGCCCATGCTAAACTCAGCTAGGATGCTGGAGTGAGCACACTGGTTTATTCTCAGGGCTCCTGGGGCGGGGGGG